ATACTTCTTGTTCTGAAGTCAAGTTACAAAACTAAATGTCTGTAGAATGTTCTATGTGTAATTGTGTCTGTGACCTCATTTTGTCATTAACATTATCATCTCATGATCTCTCACAGTGAAAGTGGAGAGACCACTTTCACTCTAAAGGGAAAGGTACACCAGGTCTATTTCTCGCTGGGATCTGTCACCCTCTTGAGAAATTCACTTCAAACTATATAAAGCTCCTGTGGAGATGTGTGTGTTCACCTGTTTGAGATTATTCTGACTTGTGCTTCCTGATCCTTGCCTTATTATTAAAAAAAAAAAAACTATATTAGAACGATTTCACATTCCTCGATGAATGCATCCTGCCTCCCAAAAAAGAGAAAAATGTAGAGCCCAAAGTTAATTAGATATGATAAAATCATGTACTCATCTTTTTTTTTTTTATTTAATTTTTTCATTCTTTCTGTCTTAACCCTTTCATGACTCACAGGAAATGTAATATCCAGTTGCACTTTTCTCCTCTGGATTTATTAGAATGTTAGGTGTTATACTGTTAATTGCAAGGTTGATGGTTCAAGCCCATCAGTCACTCTGAAGGAATAAGATGAGGCTGCCTGCTTCTGTAAAGATTTATTGATTCAGAAATCCTGTATAGAGCTGGAATGGACTTGATGGCAATTTGGTTTTGGTTTGATCTGGTGTCTATTTTGCTTACAACTGTTAGAAGAGTAGTTGTATAACTGAGAGAAATAAAAGAAATGGTTGTGAGCCCCAAATCACTGTTTTTATAATATTATGTGAGATGATACGTGGTGGCTACATGTGATAAGCACTGGACTGTGAACCACAAGGTCAGTTGTTCAAACCCACTAGCTACTTCTTGGAAACTCTATTGTTGTTGTTGTTGTTAAGTTCCATTGAGTTTGTTCTGACTCATAGTGACTCTGTATAGGGTTTCTGAGGAGTGGCTGGTGAATTTGTACTACCAATCTTGCAGTTCAAACCTTGTAGTCCAGTGCATTATTCCCACAGTGCCATGGTCACAGTATGTAAGAACGGACTTGACAGCAGTGATTTTGCAAAACTTTGTCTCTTTTGCTTTTTTAACTGAAAGATAAGTCCTGTAAGTGTATTTCTGGGTTCCGGTGTATTATTTGTAATCCTGGTGTGATGCTGTAGTCTAGGACTGCTGTAGTCTGTAGACAACTAGGTTGTTTGAACTGTAATATCAGTGGTTCAAACTCACCAGCAGCTCCTCATAAACCCTATGATATTTGCCTTTTCATGTTTCAGCAAATGCAGCATTTTTAGGTGTCTTATATTGTATACACTTGGGGAATCTAGACAGTGGTGCAGAGTTCAGACTAAGAAGTGTATCCCACATAATCCTAACCCAAATTGAGAGGGGTACATATGCCCCACATAATCCTACTTCCAGAGTACAGAGGGACATATGTGTTTCACAATTTGTATCAAAATCTAAAATTTCATAACAAAATATGAGTGATAAATCAGAATGTCCTTCATTAATGAAAACACATAATATCAATGAAAAATTCAAATAAAAAAATAATTGGGTCATGAAAGGGTTAAATTCATTATTTGTTCTTTTTTCACTATAAATAATAACCAGTTCCTTCCAACATACAAAATATTCTTTATGAGCCTAATATCACTGCCTTAAAACTTTTTTTCAGAACTCCTCTACTGCTTTTATAGGAAGGACAAATGAAAAAAAAAGAGAGAGAGAAAAGAAAAGAAAAAGAAAAAGCCCAGACTATTACTTCAAACTTTCTTCAAAAGTTTAATTTTAACCTGGCAACATCAATTTCAATATGAAGATGATGGTATTATAAATCATATGGTACAAACAGGCATTCTGTATGATTCGAGTGACTCACAGCCACATTTATAGTAATCTGTGTTTAAAGTTTTACTTCACTGGTGTGCTTTCCAATATCTACTTCCTTTAGCCTTGCTGTGAAAGATGATCCCTGGTAGTATTATGGTAATATAACTTCTCTTTATAGATTAATCACTGGCATTGACTGGTTCATTTCTATTTAGTGACATCTTTATGAAATAAATACAAACTTATTCTCAGAAAATGTAGAAACATACAAAAACTAAAAAGAGAGTAAGATTCACTTTTCATCCTGAGAGTATTTATAAATCTATATATTTTCATTCATGTGTCTGCTCTATTAATTTATCTAAAGATATGTGTGAAATATATTTAGAAAATTATAATCACACTATATACATCGTTTTTTCTACAAGAATTTGTCATTATATTTTGTCACTATATTTTGCTCCAACTAAATTTGTATACTGTTTGATCTGGTGTAATTAAGTATTTTTTGATAAAATGATAATGATATGGGTACACATATTATTAAGGAGCTCTGGTAGCGTAGTCGTTACAAGTTGGTCTGCTAACTTCAAGGTCAGCTGCTTGAAACTACCAGTGGTTCCAAGGGAGAAAGATGAGGCTTCCTGCTCCCATAAAAATTTACAGACTCAATAACCCTGTGCAGGGTCACTATGAGTTAGAACCAACTCCACAGCACACCACCACCACACATATTATTACGTAATCTTTCATTAATGTTCAAATTTAAATGATTTCCAATATTTACTTTCATAACACTGCTATAATCTTTGTGCACATCTTGACTTGTTTTTCTTTTCTGTATGGGTTTATATGAGCATATTTTGAGGGCAGAGGCAATCTTTTGATATATTTTTTCCAAAATTATATTTCTTTTTGTTTTAAGCCAGAAATTATCTGAAAGTATAATTAATAGAAAAGCAGGTAATACGGGAGGAGCAATCACTTTTTATAATAAAGGAAAATAGTCTTCATAATCACTGATTTGGGTTCAAATCTCGTTTGTGTAATTTGAATGACAAGAGTTATAAATATATTATTTTAACTATTATGCTACTATTCATTCTGCTTTTCCTACTCTCGTTTCTTCTCCTACTAAGATTGTTATTTTAATGTAAACGGGAACATCTTTCACGAATAGGTTAGACTGCATAGTCTTCATTAATCTTACCACAGATTTAGGAGCCTGTGAATGATACTATGTACATGTATTAATTAATTGTTGACTATCTTATTATCTTGCATTTTATATTTATATCAAGAGTGGGGAAAAAAAGTACTATTTTGTACATTAACAAAGTCTATATGGCAGGAACAAATGCTGAAATGTGAGGCAAGTGTAATGTTAATTAAGATGGTTAAGGCTATGTGTCAACTTGACTGGGTCATGATTTCCAGTGATTTATCAGTTATGTGACAATGCCATCAACCTCCATTGCTGATCTGATGTGCTCATCCTCCTTTTTCACATAATATCAAACTTTGTATAGCAACTTGGTGTTCAGAACCTAACCATATTGAAAAGTGGGTGTGTAGATTAAGCAATTTGCACTCAAACTAATTATTGGGTTTTAATCTGGTGTGACAAGAAAATGCACTGGACTGCAAGGTTGGTTTGAACCACAGAGTAGCAGTTTTTACTCAGCAGCCGCTCCTCAGAAACCCCATATCAAATCACTAAGGTTTGGAACCAATTTTACAGCACTTAACAATAACAACAAACAACAATCCTTGAATATGGTCTCAGTTTCATGTTTCTGTCAATAAGAAGGGACAGAAAATAGATCTCTTAATAGATCATAAACTAGTGCACTAAAGAATGCTTGCTTTTTATTTATGTCTTAGAGTTGTAATATTAGTTTAAAAGTCATTAGAGGCTTGCTTTCTTTTATTTTGTTGTTTTTAAGAGCTGTCAAGCCAGTTCTGACTCATAGCGACCCCATATAGAGTTTCCAAGGCTTTGAATCTTTATGTTTCTCAGTTCAGTGTTTATCCTATAGAGCCACCATGTTCACTTCATAAGGAATTATTTTATATGCTGATAAAATTATTTTGTAGTTTTAAATACAAGTGGTAGAAATGGTTTGATATTATGTATGTAGAATTTATTGTCTTTATTATATGCTCAGGATACATTTTCTGTGTCGGGCATCTGTTACTTAGTTGTTGTTATGCGCCATGGAGTCGGTTCCGACTCATAGCGACCCTGTACAGG